CTTGGCTCTGCTCCCGCGGCTCTGATGGCTAAGAATCGACTATTCAGCTCAGTAAAGGGTATTTTTGCCCAATTTTCACCACAACGAACAATTCCGAAGCTGGTTTTTACCTTAATCAAGGTAATTAAGGTCACTATGATGCCCTATTTCACAAATTCAAGTTAAATTAGATTAAAATTCCAAAATACTAACGAAACAAAATGAACATCCTAATAGGAAATGACTCCGGACAATAATTGGAGCAACTTTGATGTAACGATTCAAATTTTCCATTTGTGGCTTATTTGGTTAAGATTTTATTTTTATTTCACAAATATTATGTTATGGATTTATTCTGGTCCGAAAAGGTGCAATTTTAAAAAGGGAGTTATTAGAAATTGTGATGGTTTGGGTTTATGGAATAAAATAAAATAAAACCAAAATAGAATAAATAATTAAATGTAATCTCCCCGAAAATCGAGAATTTCATGCGAGACTTTTATTACCTAATAGAAACCTTCCTATTTCTCTTGAGTTTCCTTATCCTAAAAAAACCCCTAGAATACAAATGTCTTCATATTATTTTTATATTCCTATGCCCAACCTTTTACCCCTTGAAAACGATTTTCTCTCCAAACTTTCCTCCGAAACGTTGGGGTTGCTCTTTAAAGAATCGAGTAGAAGTAAAGAATTGATGTTGGGATCATTGTGTCAAAGAAGGTTGACCGTCAGAAATCGGTGTTGAGGACGTTGTGGGATTGTCGGCGCGTCGTCGAAATTGGGGAGGCGGAAACTAGAGTTTCGTCGCTTGTCGGGTAAGGAAGGTGAGGTCTTTGGAATCGGGTCGAGCTGCAGACGTACACCCAACAGCTCCGGCAGCTTTGCACGTGTACACAGTGCGGCTCGGATCGCACGTATACGAAATCGGCTCGGTTCCGTCAATTTCCGCAGCTCGACTTGGTGGCTTAGTTGGCCGGCTCGGCAGCTAGGCTTAGCGGCAAGATATCACTATAATATATTGATTCCAAGGTTTTTGGCCCTTCCGAAGCCATTTTTGCCCTTAGTTTTATCATCCAAGGTCAGTATGATTCCTAAACGTTAAAGACAGATTAGGTCGGGGGTTTATTTTGATAAATAGCATGAGGTTTAGCTAGGGTATGTTATTGAAGGTTCTAAGTTTTTATGTGGTTATCATAGGACATATTTAACCGTTGCGATTAGCTCGTTGTGAGTGACTTCAACCAAGACCATCGAGGTAAGTGACCTTACTGTTGGAGTTAGCTTTCTACGTGTTGTATGATGGTGCGTGCCCTGTGGCCCCTGCATGCACCATATTTTATGTTGTGTTGACTGTTGATTGTTTATGTTATGTCATGAATGAGATGTTAGTATTATATGTCATGAATATGTTGATTGATGCCATAGATACACGTAGAATTATCGAGTCATGTCATGAGATGTTTATGCAACTGGAATGTTTATGTAATATGTCATGTAATGTAAGTCATGTGAGATGCCATGTGATGTAAAAAACGTAAATGCGATGTTAGACTGCTTATGTAATGTCATGTTAGATATGTTAAGGGACTTCATGCATATATGTATGTCATGTGCATCGAGATTCTTCCCCTTTATGATACGAAAGAATGAAATACGATATTTATGTTCGCCATGATATCATGCGGGCCTTTTCTGTTCTGTGGTGTCTGGCTACGTGTAACACGTTTTGCCTGACCAAGTCAAGCCTAGGGGTTATGTTTACGAGCCCGCCTGGTGGGTTCATGTACACGTACATGGGCCATGTGTGAAGGAGTACTACACATCCAACCCTACCCGGAATAGAAAAGCGCCCAAGGTTATGAAAAGTTTATGAAAAGTTAGGTCCCGCTCATATGTTGCATGTATTTGCATTCCTAACCCCAACAGTGGGGTGACTTACTGAGTATTTCATAAAATACTCAAGCCACGTGCTACCTACATTTTTCAGGTAAAGGCAAGGCACCAATGTACGGTTGACGGCTGAGGTGAGGCCACCATGGAAGTTGGAGATGAGATATTTTTAGGAGTTTACTTTTATTGGACTGTTTTAAGTTATTGCATTGAGTGTGTTACTTTGTTTAGATTCTTTTTTAAAATTCAATTAGTGAAAGTTTATTTTTGGAGATACTTTGTTTTGAATTGACGAAGGTTTATGAAAGACTTTGTTTTGTTTCCAAGGTTATTTATGATGAGCTTCCGCTTAATGAGTTATGTATGCATGGGTGACGTCATTAATTAGGTTAAAGAAAATTAGGGGCATTACAATTGGTATCAGAGCCCTAGGTTATAAATCTTGTAGACTAGCTTACGATGTAGCCCAACGTACTTCCATGGTCCTCCAGCAAACGCGTCGTCACCGTGAGGTATGCCTTTTTTTTAGAAGTAAAGCTTCTTAGTTAAATGATGTATGTAGTAGTGAATGTTTATTTTGTGATGAATGACATGTTATCCATGTGTTATGTAACGACCCGAAAAAAGAAAAAAAAAAAAAAAATAATAATAATTATAAAAAAAAAAAAAAAAAAACAGAAGAGAAAAAAAAAAAAT